ACTCTGTAGACACATCGTTAAACTGTAGACATCTCTGTTTTTCCACCACTGTTGCTAGTCCACGGATTGTTTTATGGAATTCGCAATAGTGCTCGTTTAACGGTGGACGAGCACATGCAGCCAAATCAGTAAAAAAGTTAGCTTGTCAAAGCTGTGACAGAAGTACCTTCAATTACGAACGTTGACAGCTGCAAATGAATTTTACGTACTTCTGCACGAGCTGCACAAGTTGATGCATATCGCCCTTATTTCCACTTCGCGCCTCGCCCTTGCACTGTTATGTTTATTATGTGCCTTGCCAAAAGCCGCAGTATCATTGGACTGCCGAGTATCTAATAGAGTGACGCTATCTGTGTCGCCACAGCGAGCATTTCTTTCGTGATGTTCGTGGCTCTGGCATTGCAATCAACGTCGCTCATATTTGAGGAAGATTTGAGGAAGTATATGTCTCATCCGCTCAGTTAGTTTTGCCTTGTTTTTCACTTTTTCATTCTGGATGTAAGTGGCTGTAAATGCTCGTTTGGTGACTCGTTCGAGAGTATGGGGAATAGAGGAACGCTGAGAGGGCCAATTTTAGGTGATACTGCAGCAGACACTTGTGAAGGTGTTTCGTCAACAATAAAGCCTGCAAGACACTAGACGCATGGGAAGCCATCATGTATAAATACCTTAAAACAGCCGCGAAAGGCTTTGTTGAGACGGCACTTTTAATTAACAGGCGTGCGACTAAAGCAAAGGGAAGGGGACTTTCTTTTAAAGGAACTCTAACGAGCTAAACAGTTTTTCTGTTAGCAAATTACCTTCTCACATTTCCAAAGTCAGCGCATTCCAGCGGAAAGAGGTTCGATAAGTGAAAAAATGCGCAGGAAAGTAAAATGTGGGTGACAACACCGCATGGAAGTTTTTGCAACAAACGCCATGACGTCACAGATTTCAACGGCGTTCACTAAGGCATACGCGGCTCCTAATGGGTGTAAATGGAGCGAAATGGCTGCTGCTGGGGCCAAAGATTCGTCATACGAAGTTTTCTGAAAGTTCATTGAGCCAATGTCTGCAAATTAGGTCAAATCTACTTTCAAAGTCATGACATCAGGCCTGTTGATTACAGCGCGGAATGTGTCATGGGTCGGAAGGAAGGTCGCTGCAGGATGCGAAAAACAAATAGGTTTATGGCACTATTTACACATATTTACAGAAAAGAAGGGTTAGTGGTTTCACAAACCACGAGCGTGGTGGTTGAACGTTACATAGTTCAGAGCGACGTCCAGAACTCTGCGGCGTCGTTTTATGCCCTGTCGGGCTCCTCCTCTCCGAGTGGAACACCAATCACACACACACAACAGGTGAGGGGGATGAGCATGCACGGTCCACGTGAACGTCCAATATTGAGTTGTGAACACTGCACTGCAAGGTGGCGTCAGCAGGGCTCTTCCTCGTCGTGTGTGTGCCGCTAGTCGAGAGTTCCCACGATCCTGGAAGCATACTTCAAAGGGTCCGCCGCACAGCTCGCCCAATCAGCGGGGTGATCTTCGGTGGCCGCCACGGTCTTTTCCAGGAAGATGCTTGCTTTGTTGTCCTCCCTCGTCGGGGCGACACGGCGTCTCATTCTCCGGCTAGCAGGGAGAATGCCTGGCGAGCACAGGCAGCCGGCCGGTCGTCTACTTGATTGGGGATTAAAAGAAGCGCCACTCTCCTGTCAGCTCTGGCGCCGGTCACGCCAGCTTCCTCGTCGCTCGATGAGTCGCTGAGGACATCAGTCACCGCTTCTGCTCGAAGAGACGACAAAAGGGTCCGCATTTGAAAGACGGGAACTCGCCTTTGCTTGCCGCATGGTCTGGATAATTGCTCAAATCTTCGACAGCGTCTGTCAGACTGGGCGCCGAAGGGATCGAGAGCCTCGCCAGGGGACTGGCTAACTCACAATGGCGTCTGTTCAGACGAATTTCCAGGTCAAACTTAACAAATGTAAAACTGATACTTCGACCTTGATCATATCCTCGAATAATGAATAGTAGAATAAGGACATTATAGTTTCTTATGTAGACTTTATCAATCTAAATCACTTTATTGTTTCATTGTAGTGTCTCTTCAATAATGTAAGGGGCCTCCCAGTCTACCTCATTCCTGGGTTCTGGTACACCTGTCGCGTGATCACGTGGTGTGCAGAGATATAGCTTGGTATTTCAATACTTTTTCACGTCATGAAACTCCCTTGTCGCTGAACAGGAGAGCTTCGTATACGCCCACACTTTTTCGCGCAGTGGCGCTGGCGTAGCTAGAAGGGGGACGAGGAAGCCGGCTCGGCCGGCTGCTCTGCTGGCCGCCATCAGGCTGCTCTGCTGGCCGCCATCAGTGGCGGCCAGCAAAGCAGCCGGCCGAGCGCGTAGTGTTGGTGGTCACGCTGTTCGCATCTCTTTTTTTTTCTTTTCGGGGTCGCATAGTGTGGACAGTGATGCCCATGCCCAACACTTGCTGCGTGCTGAGCTGTCACTCTGCATACAAAAGCCGCCGTCGGAGAAGTTTCACTGTTCTCTTTACCAGCCATCAAAGAACAACGCGACAAGTGGAAACATGCCATCCCGCGACAGGACTGCCGGATTTTCATTGTACTCAAAATACGCGCGCATGTGTGAAAAATGTATTGAAGGGTCATGGTTAGAGCCAAGCAGGTTTCTCACAATTCGGGGCCAAGTACTGCACAAGTTGTGAGCAAGATCTGCTTATCTTTTTCTCCAAAGAAGGCGGGGACTCTGCAGACGCATAGGCTGATGCACGTCATTGGATGAGTTTCATATTTGCATTACTGCAGAGCTGCCTTTCAGTAATTGTAATAATGATAATAAAAATACTTGGCGTTTCACGTCTCAGGACCATGGTGTGATTTTAAAGAACGCCGAAGTTTAGGGCTCCGAAAATTTTTGCCATCTGGTGTGCTATTTAACGTGCACTGACCAGCCACTCTACAGGGGCCTTTAAAGTTTGCCTCCATCGAAATTCCACCATTGCGGCCGGTGTCGAAACCGGAGCCTGTGACTCAGCAGCGCTGCACCGCAACCACTGCCCCACCAAGGTGCACACTTCCTTTCTTTCGACCTCAATCAAAAGAGGAAGGGAGGGGTTGCTGTGCATCTTCTACCCAAAGATCCAAAGTGAGGTTTAAAGGCCCAAAGCCACTTAGTCTACGGGTCCGGGTGCCATAGTGCGAATAACTCCAGATGATTTCTACCGCCCAGTCTTACTTTACGTTGAATTAAATTGCATAGCACGTGGCTTCAAGCACTGCGCCTCCTTCGATGTGCGATGGCCATGGCCGGACCAGGACCTGCGTCATTCGCTTTTCAGTACAGAAACGGAGGACCGTAATCGGTGAGACACCGCGGCAGCTATAACGAAGAAACAGATACTTGATTTATTCTCCTTATATCGTTCTGAACAGATAAAAACAACGCACATGGAATACCGAATCGGACTGTGTGCTGGTAAACGTGCCTTCAGCTGCGCGTACCCAACATGTACATATTTTGCCGCCAATATTGATTTCGTTATTCGCTATGACGTTGTGATTCCAAAGCTCTATATGCTCCTAGCAAGGCAAGCTCCACGGCAATGCACATGTCACGCAAAGGCTGAGAATGCAGCATGTGAGAAACGAGTATGTGAACCGAGAAAAGTGAAACAGTAGATGTCAATATTTGACTTTTGGCTCACACCCACCTTCAGTGATCGGCCTTGTATCGGGTAGCTTAGAAAACAGACATTTAAAATCTAAAAAACAACATTGTCTTGTTTTGGGCTGCTGGATCATCTTCTATAACATAGCGACGAAAAAACACCATTGAATCAATTCTTATCAAATAAACAGCAAATGAATATATAGAGGAAAATTTACTAGAGGCTATCTTGATTATCTATGAAGCTTTGGAACAGTTCGCGCCGGTTGGTAGGTGTGTTATCGTTACCGTGAGAGCTTAAGTTAGATCCCAACAAATGCAGACTTCGGTGGCGTAGCTGTCCATCACCACCGTCAAGTTCCGGTAAGGGGTCGTGATAACAGATTTAACATAGCGTGGTCACATAATGAAAATGCATTCGGCGTCACGCAATGTGAAATACGTACCCACTAGGAAGATTACTAAATATTCTCACCCATGCAACACGGCTTTGTCGTAATTATTTGCAGCGAAGAGCCACACCATCAATAAAATGTTCCTAATGCTTTACACATGGGCGTAGCCAGGGGGGAGGGGGAATCGGAGGTTCAATATCTGCCCCCCAAAACTTTTCTATTTCACTAACACATGCTCAAATACAAACACACCTACAAACATGCATAAATCAAGGTTGAAACATCCCCCTCCCCCGAAAAAGTTTTCTTTCTACGCTCCTGGCTTCACAAATGTGTAGCTGGCAGCTAGCTTCTCCGCAGAATTAGGGTGGCTAGCTACCGTAGCAGCATGTTGAACTATAGCATAATTCATTTCACGAAATTGCGACCACTAATAGCGTAATGGGTACTTCGCAAACATACTTGCCAAACACGTGCGCAAGAGAAGGGGAGAAGCTTTGTGTGTGTGTGTGTGAGGGGGGGGGGGGGGTAGGTGGCCGCTTCTTTTCCTACTCAACTGAGCGAGGCGGTGAAAACTCAGCACCCTACATTGACAAATAGGAAGGGAAGTGCTGCGAACACCCTTGCCCCCCCCTCCCCCTTTGAAGGGTATCCCTGCGCACGTCTCTGGTACTGCTTAACAACGGAGACTGCTCTTACAGGTTGCGCTTGAACTGTGCTTTGTGTTCAATGCAGGAATGGGAATCTTTCTTTTTTATTGACGGACGCGTATATACTGGTCATCTCGCTTGTGACGGCTATAGCATTTCAAATTTCATTTAATAAAATGTGCGACCGTGTCTGCTGTCAGGAAGTCCAAGTACAAGCCATGACTGACCAACTTGGTTGCACAGAAATAACTACTAAAAAAAAGGGAGCATATCGCAACACTTACTTCCATAGCGAAGGATTTTCCATCTACACGATGTTCGCTCCCTTGTGTGGACTTGTCGCCCCAGTGGAAGTGCAGCTGTTTGAATTTGTAGACGCCAGGCAAGTCATCTAGAGTTACAAAGGCCTTGCTTCGTCTGGTAGGAGTGATCGTTACTGAAATAGTCAATAAAAACAGCGGAGGAGATGGTTTAAACTGGTCAAGAGATTGGGCGCAATAAAAACATGACTACGTAAACTCCTTCGAAGCCTCCGGCACATGCAGCGTGATTTGGACAGCAAACACAAATATGTATTTTCTCAACAGCGAATAGTAAAGGACTTGTGGTTTAACATTCGCTGTTTAAAAAGTCACACCGTTTTCGGAAAGGAGAGCTCAGATGAGCTGAGCGTTGGCACGTTCTCGGTTGCCCTCCTCACTTTCTTTGAAGCTGTTGGCACCTGTTGTTTGTTGGAGAAGATAGCGTTCTATTGGCCGACAGCCGGCATAAATTGAGAGCGGTGTTTGCATCAGATGAGCTTCTCGCCGCGCCGTGCTGCCACGTGCGGTATCCTGCTAACATTGCGCTGTGAGCCGCGATCGCGCAGGCAAATAACAACTGGAGGGAACGTTTGCATATCGCCGTCCGCACTCAGATTCGTGACGCGCGTTCAGTTACCTTTTTTTCACCGTGTCATTTCTTCTTGCATAGCTTCCAGAGCGATTTTCGTGATATGAGAAGCGTGAAAGCGCTTGAAGAGCGTCACATACCTGTGTATGTCATAGCATTTCAAGGACGTTGAACAATATTTATGAAAACTTGTGTCCTTCGCGAATTACTTGGACAATACTTAGGGCTTCTTTAGGGTACCTACGTGTGTACATTTCATATTCATGTTACAAAAAATAACTAAGTAAAGTTCAAGTGCACCTGGTTCTTCAAACCTTTCTTGATTTGAATAGTGGTGCCTCCCAGCCGATATGGAAGGGCTGTGTAATCTCCCTCTACATGGAGCTGTTATGTCTTTGCATCACAGTTGTTTGTTCAAAAAGAGTGGATTGTGTAATTTATTTTGGTAGAGTAACTGTGAAATGCGCAGCTATAAAATACAAATTATTCAGTCTTTTGGCACGGCGATGCAATATGCCTCCTAGCAGTACTTGTTGAAAAGTTTCCGGCACACTAGACCAGGTATATATTTTTGCAGATGCCTGCTGTTAAGCAAGCACATGATTGAAAATGGCGAAGGTATTATCTTACCAATCGTGTACCAAATAGATGCAATATGTCTGGCCATGTTTCCAACTAGCAGGACGTTGCTCAAAAGCGTTTTTCAAGAAAGCCATCATTTGTTTTTAAGTAGTAATTGTCAGAAAACATCACAAGTATAAGTCTACTTATCGTGATTGCAGTGCTCCTCCTTGCACCGGGAACATTCGGGCGTAAAAAAATTAGCGTTTTTTTAGGCAATGACAAACCCTAAGTGCCGACTAGTCACAAATGGCTTTAGTTGTCTTGTACAAGTGCAGTAGATGCAGGATGTTCCATGCGAAGAGTAGTTTTTTTTTGTGTCCACAGAAAAAGAAGGATCTTTTTGAAGAACTCACTTTTCATAGAATAGTGTATTGATCGCTTAAGTGTCCACATACCACAGATAAGGCAAATAGAAAATGCAAAACCTTTTTTTCTATTCTATTGCTTCTGTAATTCTCGCTGTAGGCTGCTGTAATGATGAGTTGAATGGATCGCGCGCATTTATTATTGACGCTCAAAGTAAAACACAGTGTTTGGCCTTTCAAAGCAGATATGTTCTTTGCAAAGGAGGACTTGGCGTGTTGTAACTGATTTAGCAGCATTGTCTTAAAACCGTTATATCTTAAAAGGCATTATGAAAAAATATTTATTTACAACCGCACTATATAGTTGCTCAAGTCCACGGATGTGTCGGCTGTTTATTGTAACGTCTGTTGTGTTGCTCTAAATTTCTTGTTCAATTCTGGCACTGTTATGCAATGAGCGCCAGTTGTCTTCTGCCATGCACAGCAGTAACTAGTGACAAAGTTTTTTCCTTTATGTAACAAAAATAACCTCACTTTAATAGTGTGGCTTTTGACAAAATCACATGGAGCATTGTATAGAGATTATTCGGACTGAAAATTACGGTGACTGCACGCATTCTATAAGTCGATGCCATGCGAAACATGGGTGAGTAGTGCATTTCTTCATTGCTCAGGGTAACAAGAATATCGCAATTCACTCAGAATTTCTCAAAAACTATATTTTGTAGTTAGGACTTACTTGGACTGATCCCTCGCCAATATTTTAGCCAACCAGACTCACTCAGACTCAATCTCACAGCTCGATCTGAGTCTGAGTCAGCCAACTCATGAATGAGTTGGCCGACCTATGCTTTGAGCCAAGCATTGCGAGGTTGCCAGACGTATTTGTTGACTGTAAGCTGCTCTGAGCATATCGCAGACCAATCAGACGCATCCACTATACTGGCGCGCAAGGAGCATCCTATGGTCTGACGTAACGTATGTACTCAATTAGGAGCACGTTTTAGTATTATGAAAATGATTGCGGGTTTTTTCCTCCTGGTCAGAAAAACCATTTATCATAGCTTTTTCAGTAATTAGAGCTTATATTGTCGCCGTTCACCGAGTATGGAGGCTTTATTGTAATGAACAGAAGGACGCTGTTCCCTCAGAGACATCAATGGTGGACTCGGCCAAAACAACTTCTGCTTCTTCTCTTTTTTTCGTGATGCGCCTCTCGTGCGAATGTGTCGTCGTCTTCACGGCATAGCTTTGCACAAATAGGGACGTCACATTACCTTCCCTCCAGAGAGAGCATCATCTCGATGCTCACCAAGTAGCAGTGGATGTGCAATTAGATGGTCGATATCCACATCAGTTCGAAAGGCATGACTTTATGCGCACTACGTGCACAGTCTGAGGCAGACGCTGACGGCGTCTTCAGCAAAACGAACCAGCAGCAACGACCTCGTAGGTTACGTCGCTGAAGCAGCGCAGTACTTTATTCAATCCATAGTATCGGCGCAGAAGTTTCTCCAACAGACCTCGCCATCACTTAGGAGACAAAACCCAGGCTCCTCCCTGGTGTATAAGCTACAAATCTATGACGGGAATTGTATCGACGAGCGTCGCATGTTTGTTGGCTGGTTATTCTAACCCGAGCAAGTTGCCTCGCTCTCTCGGCACGCTCAGTGAAGTCTGTGGCATCTTGGAATCGGAATCATGAGGCAGCATAGCATTGAGCACTGTAGTGACTTCTCGGCCATCGACCCGTCCGAACAGAGTCATTCTCGTTGTTTTCTGGTGGGCCGTATTGTACGCAAAAGTGACGTACGATAAAGCTTTGTCCCAATTCTTGTGCTCCACGTCGACGTACATGCAAAGCATGTCTGCAATTGTCTTGTTGAGGCGTTCAGTGACCCCATTTGTTTTTGGGTTATAAGCTAATGTTTTTACACGCACTGAGCCACAGAATGTGAGCGCCATGTGCTGAAGCTCACCTGTGAACGCAGTTCCTTTGTCGGTTATGACGACCGCGGGAGCACTGTGTCTTAGGACAATGTACTCAATAAAGAATTGTGCCGCTTCAGCTGCTGTGCTGCTCGGAATGGTTTTGGTTTCCGCGTATCTGCTGACGTAGTCAGTCGCGACCTTGATCCCCTTGTTGCCGAATGGGCCTAAGAGGTCCATTAAAAACTAGCAATGTGGACCTACGTGCAAACCAGCACGTAGGCCCACATTGCTAGTTTCTGTGTGTATGGTTGTTGGTGCATCCTCATCAAAGTGAGCGACCACCGGCATAGTTTGTAGACGCTGCCGTAACTCGTTGAATGCCGCCTCTTGCTCCTCACCCCATATAAGCGTAATATCTACTCTCGTTAGGCTGGTTAGTAGAGGTGCCGTGCGCAAAGTCTGCTATCAATCGCCGGTAGCAGACGAAGAAACCCAGGAAACGTCTGACTCCCTTCTTATCCCTGGGCCTTCCAAACTTTGCGATCACAGCAGATTTCTCCGGGTCAGGTCTAACACTTTTGCGACGAACATCATCTCCCAGAAACTGAAGCTCTTCAAATCTGAAGTGGCGTTTTTCTGGCTTCAATCTTAGCCGTTCTGACCGTATAGCTCGAATAACTGACAACAGTCGTTTTAGGTGTTCTTCGAACGAGGCGGATAAAACAATCACGTCGTCCAAGTACACAAAGCTCGTTTTCCATTTGAGGCCGGATGGAACAGTAGCTATAGGTTTTTGAAATGTGGGTGGGGCCAAGCATAAACCAAAAGGGAGGACTTTGAATCCGTAAAGCCCATCAGGCGTCACGAAGGCGGTCTTCTCACGGGAACGCTCATCAACCTCTATTTGCCAGTATCCACTTTCAAGATCGATTGATGAAAAGTAACGTGCATGTCACAGCCTGTCCAGAGAGTCATGGATCCATGATAAGGAACAAAAGATATTTCTAATTAACATGGTTGAGCTTACGATAATTGGTGCAGAAACGCAGGCTTCCGTCTTTTTTTTTGACAATCACTACAGGTTGTTCTCAAGGGCTCTTTGATGGTTGTACTACATCATTTTCCAGCATGTCCACCTGCTCCTGTATTGCCTCACGTTCTTTCTGAGCCACAAGACATAAGTTCTGCCGGAAGGGTCTAGCTGCTTTTTTTTTTGTGATGATGCGGTGTTTAATCAGCGTCGTCTCACGAACTCGTGACGTAGAGGACAAGCAGTCCCTAAACTGTTCTAGCAGCTTCATAAATATTGTTACAGCGAGCTGTGATGAAATAGTTTTATTTACGAGAGTTCAGCGATGGTTGTTCACGGTGGTGCACTGAGATCTTGCACAGCCTCTTCGTTTCCCTTCCTTTCTTTTCTCTGCCTTTCACATGTGCGTTACATACCCCCGCAAGCAGACAAAGCCCATCGGGTGCGCTATGATGCACAAGGAGGGTAGAAAGGTTTCAGGCGAGCAATGTGAGTGAGCTGCGTTCCGTTCGATCGTCGACCATTAAACAAAAGACGAGCTATTACGTAGGTGAGTGGATAAACGCTCCAAAACAGCAGATGGGCCTAAATATCGTGACAGAAGCTTTTGACGCAATCCACGCTTGCTTTGCGGTGTTCGAAGCAACACCAAGT